GATAGATTTCTTCTATTTCATCCTCACTTGCTTTTGTGGTTGGTGCATAAATTTAAATAATAGTGGTATTAACTGGGCTTCCCTGCAGGCACATGGATATTATCCTATCACAGACAGCGTTGTACCTCATGACTGATCTGGATATGTTCTTTTTGACAATGAATGCAACACCATTCCTCTTCAATTTGTTATTTCTGTCATAGTAAACCATGTGGTTGTCAGATTCAAAATGGCCAATACCAGTCCATTTCAGCTCACTAATACCTAAGATATCAATGCTTATGTGTTCCATTTCATTTTTGACAACTTTCAATTTTCCTAGATTCATACTTCGTACATTCCATGTTTTGATTTTCAATGGATGTTTACAGCTGTTTCTCTTCTTTTGAGTTGTGCCCATCAGCAAATGAAGGTCCCGCGGGATTTTCTCCCATGGGCTTTACTCCATTCACGTTATCACGGTCAGCTCTACTTTGAGGAGGCTATTCTTCTCCAGTCACATTTTGAGTACCTTCCAACCTCAGGGTCTCATTTCCCAGCACTATATCTGACAGTGTTTCTCTGCTATTCATAAGGTTTTCAGTGACTAAATATTCGGAAGTAGTTCGACACTCTTTCTTCCTAGTCTGTCTTTGTCTGGAAGCTCATCTGAAATCTGTCCACCATGGGTGATCATGCTGGTATTTAAAATACTGGCGGCATAGCTTTCAGAATCACAGCAACTCTCAAGCCCACCACAGTACGACAAACTGACAGACAAGTGGTGGCCGTTTGGTTTTTAAAAGGAGCCCTCGTAGGACAATGATTTTCGCACGTCTGCTAACCAAAAGGTCGGTGGTGGAAATTTACCAGTGATTCTGTGGGAGAAATATCTAGTTATCTGCTTCCATAAAGATTACAACCTAGAAAACTCTTATCAGTACTAATCAATCATAGAAGGTCATTATAACTCTAATCAGTACTAATCAATCATATATGGTAATTATGTATCAGAATTGACTTGATGGCATAAAACATTGAGCATAAAAAGCTCTTTGCTTGAACGTGTCAATGAAAGTGACATTTAAACACAGCTTGTATTTTATATATTATAAAATAGAATTCATCAGTTCTTTAATTTGACTGGATATTAGATAGACAAGAGTAACAACATTTGCTTAGAATAGAAATATATAGCCATATGTATGTGTGTATGTGTATTTTCTTACCAATGATTCGCCGATTAAAATAATCAGGTAACATTCGTTCACATACAGCAACCAGAAGCCAAAAAGCTTCTTCCTCTTTGGCATACAGAAGCAACACTGAGGTCAAAATGTTCATTGCCTAAGATTTCACAGAAAAAAAATACAAAAGAATAAATTTTGTTCAGGTAATTGTAGGGTATACCTTTTGGTTGGGCAATGATACATGGATGGGATGGTAACTATGGCAATGAGACGATGTATGATGGAATAAATGTAAAACTAATGTTCCCCCATGTAGACTATCACACAATACACAATAAAACATTAAAAAAAAAAGAAATACATTTCTTCAAATATGGCAGTGTTCAATAGCAACACCAACAATTAAAAGAGTAATACTAAATGGAAACATGAAGCCTTTGAGCCAGATCAAAGCAAAAACAAGGTGAAGTCAGATTAACATTTGCTAAGCAGTATTTTATACAGTATAATTCAAGGAAAATGGAGCAGGGATATCATGAATACCAAATAACATCAGTAAAACCTCACCAATTTGGACTGATTTCAATTAGTAAAGCGTTACATTTATCACAAAGTTGAAAAATCCACTTATATAGTTTCTAAGGACATTAAGACTGAAGACCAGAAAAGTTGTGGGATGACATCAAGAAAGTCACACAGGAAGAAAGCAAAAAGTCATTAAAACAAAAAAGAAGGAAAAGATCAAAATGGATGTCAGAAGAGATTCTTTTTATTTAAGTTTTTATTGTGAATTATGTGAACATCACTTTTACAGTCATCCTATCATATTTCGTTTCACTGCAATGATTACAATCTCCTCCAGCACAATCAAACAACCAAAGGGTACATCCCATAGGCCTGCCCCTCCTCCCCTGCAGTCAGCACACAGCCCCTCTCCCGCCCTGAGTCCAGTGTCCCCAGCCGCTCCATCTGTCCAAGTCATTGTCTCCATCTCCATTTCTGGTATCACTGCTTCCCTGGGTAGGGTCCCGCATTCCGCTCTTCTCACTTGATGATTCCAGGGACCTCCGCTCCTGGACTGCAAAATCAATTGCTCCCCTCCTTTTGTTACAAAACATCTACTTTTACATTTTCGACCTGATAGCAATGATTCTTCACAATTGTACCACAGGAGTCTTACCCCCATCTCCTTACATCAGCCCTGTTCCAACAGTTTGGAGACCATTCAGTGGAGTTTTTACCTTCCCCCGCCCCATCTGGAACTAGGCTTCCTCTTGAAAGCTTGTAAGCCAGTCACTTCTTGCCTTTGTAGCCCCCCAATTTTGGGTAGCCAATGTCCAAGTTTCCCATCCTTGTCAATCCTGTGTACCAAGGTGGTGGGAGTGATCCTCACTGTAAAGATTTGTTCCCTTTTTTGAGCTACTACATCCATAAGTATAGGTCAAGTTCATCAAACTGTATTGGATTACTCTTTTTTCCTCTTCTTTCTTCTTCTAGTCAAGTTCTGATCATCCAGCCATTGAAGCCAGGTCAAGTGGGTACTATCTGCAAGTATGGGTGTTCCTGTGTATCTCCTCTCAGTTCACATCAGCTGGAAGCTTCACTCTCCACACTAGTCCTCTGTGGCCATGTCACTGCCTCTGGGCCCAGGAGTCCCCAGGTCTTGCAATACTGCTGGCCAATCAGGTCTCCACCTGGGTTCACAGGAGTCTATTGAATGTGGTCAGACCCAGCTCCCAACTTCATTGCTGTTTTTCTCCCTCTTCCCCTACCGGTGACCAACATGGTCACAGCCAGACTACATGCCTGCTCGTGTATTCCTCCCGAGTCTTAGTCTTGGAAAGGGGTTTGCTCTGAGGGGACCGACCCAACCACTTGCCTTGATGGCTCCCAGGCGTACAGCTTGCTTGTTCTTGTAGTAGTCAATCTGACTGCCATTATTGTTTTTGAGTTTTTCTGCTGGTCTTTCTTTCATGAAGTATCTTCTGTTCTTCTAGCTGCTCCAGGCTGGTCTACTTGTCCCTCTCTGTGTCCAAAGTCCCCAACTGCTCCATTTCTCCATGTCATCATTTCTGCCTCCATCTCACAACAGCCACACTTGCAGATAATACCCACTTGACCTGGCTTCAATGACTGCATGATTAGAGCTCAACTAGAAGAAGAAAGAAGAGGAAAAAAAGAGAAATCTGATACAATTTGATGAACGTGGCCTACACCTATGGATGCAGTAGCTCAAAAGAGGGAATAAATCTTTACAGCAAGGATCATTCCCACCCCCTCCATACACAGAGTAGACAGGGATAATCAACTTGGACATTTAGGTCTTTAATTCATGCTGAGTTGGTTTGTATATAGGGCATGAGGTAAAGGTCTTGTTTCAATCTTTTGCATATTGCTTTCCAGTTCTACCAGCACCATCTGTTATAGAGACTATCTCCTCCCCATGCAATATAACTAGGCACTTTGTTGAACTAGTTGTGGATTGGTTAATTTCTGGATTCTCAATTCTGTTCCATTGATCAATGTATCTTTCATTGTACCAGTACCAGGCTGTTTTGACAACTGTAGCCATGTAGTAAATTTTGAAATCTGGGAGTAAGAGGCTTCCAACCTTGTTCTTCTTCTTCTTCTTCTTTTTTTTTTTTAAGTTTTTATTGTGAATTATGTGACAGTTTACATGGGAGAACATTAGTTTTACACTCATTGCATATTGTTTCATTGCCATGGTTACAATCTCCTCCACATAGCACCAATCAACGAAAGGGTACATCCTATAAGCCTGCTTCACCCACTCCCCCCAGTTATGAGCACACAGCCCCTCTTCCTCCCCGGGTCCTGAGTCCTCCTTGTTCTTCTTACGCAGTGCTTTGCTTATCCTGGGTGTCTTTCCTTTCCATATAAACTTTATAACTGTTTTTTCTATCTCTTTGAAGAATGTCTTTGGAATCTGGATTGGGATTGCATTATATGTGTAAATTGCTTTGGACAGTATTGACATTTTCACAATGTGGAGTCTTCCTATCAAGGAACATGGTATATTCTTCCACTTTTGTAAGTCTCTTTTGGTTTCTTATAGTAGTGTTTTGTAGTTTTCTTTGTATAAGTCCTTTGTTTCTCTGGTCACATTTATTCCTAAATATATCATCCTTTGGGTGGCTATTGTAAATGGTATTGCTTGCCTAATATCCTTTTCAGCGCTGTCATTGTTATTATAGAGGAATCCAACTGGTTGTTTTTGTTGTTTTTTTTCCAAACAGACAGCCAATATATAATAAATCCAAGTTTCCAATGTCAGACAACTTCAAAAGCAAGAGAGATTTGAGCAAAGTCCAATGGCCACAAAGTCCATGGTCCTGGGATAGTCATCCTCTACTTCTGCCCACTGAGAATGTTTTAGTTTCAAGTCCCAAATCAGTGTTTCTTTCGGTTCCTTGAATCTATGCAAGTGTATTTAAACTTAAACACAACAAAGTTTGGTTTTATTCTAGGAGGGTTCCACTTGAATCCTTTTGATGTCTTCTCTAATGTGTAATATTTTGGGGTGAAGTCAGGCAAACCTGGGGAAGAATGCTCATTCATATATGAAAAATGTTATGATACTTTGTTAAAACAATACTAAGAGAGACAGACAAAATAGCATCTGAGCCAAAATGTGTTTTTTAAGATTTTGAGGGTAACTTCACATATCTCCTCCTCCTCTGATCATGAATTTCCATAGAAACTCTTTGTTGTTGTTATTTTCAATGTTTTATTGTGAATTATGAGCTAATTTACATGGGAGAACATTAGCTTTACATTCATTCTATCGTATATTGTTTCATTGCCATGGTTAAAATCCCCTCCATGTATCAGCAACCAAGCAAAGGGCAAGCCTGTCCCCTGGTCGTCAGCACACAGCCACTCTCCCTCTCTGGGTCTAAAGTCCCCAGCCGCTCCATCTCTCCAAGTTATCGTCTCTGCCTACATCTCTGGCGTCACTGCTTCTCTGGGTAGGGTCTCGCTCTCCAATCGTCTCCCTTAATTGTTCCAGGGACCTCAGCTCCTAGACTGCAAAGTAAATCACTCCCCTCCTTTTGCTACAAAACGTCTACCTTTACATTTCCAACCCTCTCAATCAGTCCTGATAACAATTATTCACTATTGTATCACAAGAGACTTATCCGCATCTCCTTTCATCAGTCCCGCCCAGACAGATTGGATACTACTCAGTGGAAATTCTATCTTCCTCCACACCCTCTGGATCTAGGCTCCCTCTTGAAAGCTTGTAAGCCAGTCACTTCTTGCCTTTGTAGCTCCTCCCCCACCACTACATTGGGTAGCCAATGTCCAAGTTGCCCATCCCTGTCTACTTTGTGTATGGAGGAGGTGGGAATGATCCTCGCTGTAAAGATTTGTTCCCTCTTTTGAGCTACTGCATCCATAGGTGTAGGTCAAGTTCATCAAATTGTATCAGATTATTATTTTTTTCCTCGTCTTTCTTCTTCTAGTTGAGTTCTGATCATGCAGTCATTGAAGCCAGGTCAAGTGGGTATTATCTGCAAGTATAGGTGTTCTTATGCATATGCCCTCTCTTCTTATCAGCTGGATGCTTCACTCTCCACTCTAGCCTTTGTGGCTATGTCACTGACTCTAGCCCCAAGAGTCTCCAGGTCTTGCCACACTGCTGGCTGACCAGGTCTCCACCAGGTTCACAAGAGTCTATTGAAAGTTGTAGGGATTAGCTCATAGCTTCATTGCTGTTTTTCCCTCACTTCCCCTTATCGGTGATGAACGTGGTCACCAATCAGAGCATGTATTCCCATTGAGTCGTAGTCTTGGAAGGGGGTTTGCCCTGAGGGGGCCCGACCACTTGCCTTGATGTCTCCTGGGAGAGCTACTTGTTTGTTCTTGTAGTAATCAGTCGGATTGCCTATATTGTTTTGCATTTTTCCTGTTGGTCTTTCTTTCAAGACGTATCTTCTGTTCTTGTATCAACTGATTTTTGTATGCTGATCTTATACCCTGCCACTTTGCTGAATCTTCCAATGATGTCCAGTAGCTTTTTTACTCAGTCTTTGGGGTTTTCTATGTATAGGATTATATCATCTGCAAATAGAGTTTTATTTCATCTTTACCAATTTGGATGCTTTAATTTCCATATCTTGCTGTATAGCTCTG